GGAAGAGCAGAGGGTCTGCGCGCAGAGTGGGTCGCCCAACGCCCGTCGCCCCGGGCGGGCGAGACGGCCAGGCGGGTGGGCGGGGCCCTCCGTGTTGCGCCGTGCCCTGGGCGAGCTGACTCGCGCGCAGACAGCTGCTCTTCGGACGGGGCCGGCCCCACTCGCTCTTGCATCTGCACTCGTTTCACTGCGCTCGCCGTTACTCTTGCGCGGTTTTGTGATGCGATTACTCCCGAGCTAGATGTGAGGCGTTTAGTTGCAAGTAACATTTTTGGTGAAATCGAGGTCGTTAACTCTAATGAAGCAAAGGGCGGAGCAGTGTTCATAATACGAGAGAAATTAAGGATGTAGCGAATAAGGCAGCGTTCTTTGAGGTTGTTAATTTATTTATTACGAATAATTTCTAAATACTTCGAGTGCCTTGGGTAATTCTCCCTAAATGCGGGGTCGTAACTCATGCCTTTGCTTCACCTCCGGAAATTGTCATTGTATTCTTTTTACACCTCACTTACAAGATCTTAATGGGCGATATCCTTCTTACAATGTGGACAATCTTTCAAGAGGACATTCCGGGAAAGTCTTTCCCCAGGAGCACCGCTGCAACGTCTTTTTCAATCGAAACATTACTCTGAACTGGTAGAGAGGGGGTTGATTGCTGATTAATTGATTAATTAGTGTTTCCGGTTCGCGTCGACTGCTATGGTCATTAGTCCCATAAGTGTAGTGCCTTTAACGGTAGGTGTCAGTGATCTTCCCCTGCTGGATGGCGAGATCCGACGCCGACGTATACGTCCACTAGTAGAGATTTTCTCAATTAGGTTTCTCTCACCACCGCTACTCCGCCCCAGCCGGAACAAACCCAAGCTCTCGAACGATCTCCCGACATGTGTGGTAGTGTAGTGCATGTAAGTGTAAGAGTGTCAGGGGTGACGGTGGGACAAGGAAGAGAAAAGAAAGAATGCACGCGGCCCATGACACTTTCTTAGGGTACTTCTCCGGCATTCGCCTGGTGTTGATCGGACAAAGCACGGAAAACTACCGATCAGAGCAGCCGGCCGCTAGAATTCTCCTCCAGACAGCGACTGAACTCCACCCACCTAGAGTCGAAAACGCAGCCACCGTCGGAAGTCTCCTCCCGGTCAGAGCCACTACAGCGACATGAGTTGATGGCCTCAGCCTTGTAAGGCGGTTTGATTGCCGAGACGAGTGACGGCGTGAGGAGAGAGGCGTGTGTAGGTCGGCGCCGGTCTCGCATTGCAGCGTGGGAGGGTTGCGAGGGGCCGCGGCCCAGACGGCCAGACGCTGCTTGGGCGCCGCGCCGCGCCGCGCCGGGCCGCCCGCCGGCCTTTGGGGGAAATCGATGCGCCGCGCCGCCTGATTCATACTGCCTCCTGCGCGGGACGGCGGCGCGTTCATCACGCGTGTGTTAGCGCCCAGAGGCGGGATTCCGGGGGGGGGGCGAGAGAGAGCAACTACGAGGGTCTAAGAAGGCTTACTTAGAAATCAATCACTTTCTTGCCTAAAATCATGAGTCATAACACTAGAATTAACTCTCAAAAACCAATATTTCCCATTTATTATACACATGATACATGGTACTCAAATTTGTAAATTTAAAAACAAAAATCCGAGCAGCTACAATGTATCACTATATTTATAAGATATTGATCAAATACATATTGTGAGCAATACAATTTATTTATTTATTTATTTATTTATTTATTTACGTAAAAAACAGTTAAAAACTGTGTGTGACGTGCTATGGGGTGACGTTAATTTGAAGTTACATTTACTGCTTTTCGTACATTTGTATTCAAATTAATATTATTTAAACAAAAATAATTAATTTTTTTTGTTATAAAACTGTAATTTTAATTTTTTGTATATAGGACTTACTACCCAAATTGCCTCCCAATAAAAGATCCGAAATACCGCCTTTGTTAGTGCCACAATAAATATGCGTGGGGCAGAATGTGTATGTGTGTGTGTGTGTGTGTGGGGGGGGCTGGGTAGGTGAACTTTGTGGGTGATAATGTGCGGTTTTGTTTTGAAAAAGGATAAAATACTCCGTGTGTAGAAAAACTAGAGCCACGTTACTTCCTATTTTACTCCTGATGGTTAAAAATAACAATTTCGCGGAAAAGATTACTGATGATTTTGCTTTCCCTTTAGACTACACTGGCAATTGAGCTGAGCGACAAGTGGCGGTTGGTGTCTATCAATGTAAGTCCTGTGGTCATCTCTGCAAATGGACTGATTCCACTGAACTAACTTCATCGTACCCAAGGCTTGGACTTGAAAACTGGCACATTCAGACAATGCAAAAGATTGTTCCATTGAATACTACATGTCCGGCTTAGGTAGCTCAGGGCATCAACTGGTGTCGTCGCAATGCCTCTGACCGGAAGGTCCTTGGGTTCGAGTGTCGTCGATGGCAGGACTTCCGACACTAGCTAGAAAGCTAGGTCGAATTCAGACGCTGTCTGCAGTAGACTTCTAGCGGCCGGCTGCTCTGATCGGTAGTTTTCCATGTTTTTCCGATCAACATCGAGGAAATACCTGAGCAGTACCATAACAAACCGACCACAGACCGCGCCAGATCTTTCCTTCGACTTTTTGTTCTATGGTCGCCCTTTACTCACATACACACTAACATGCACTGCACTAACACAGAAGCCCGATCGGGAGCTTAGAGCTTGTCCAGGCTGATGGGAGATACCTGGTTGGGGAAAATCCCCGCAAGCCTATGTAGGTCGACGACGGATCTCGTCATCCAGCAGCAGGGGGAGATCACCGCCGCCTTCCACCATAAAACCATTCCCCTACACGTACGTGACTAGTGACCTTACCCGTTGACGTGAATCACCAATCAATCAAACAATTTGAGCGCCAGACGTTGCAAGCGAAGCAGGTATCTTATTTTTAAAAAAGGTTCCAAAGGCTGCTGTAGAGCATATCGTTAGTCGAGAGAACTTAGCGAAATAATAACAATAACAATAATAATAATAATAATGATAACAATGATAATGATAGCAATGTTAGCAATGATAACAATGATAACACTGATAATAATTATAATAATAATCAGGGGGAGGATATATTTGTAATTACATTTATTTGTTCATATTTACGATCAAATTTTTGGTATATGTTTACTTATTAGGTGTTTGATTAATTTCAATCCCTTTGATGCTCATATTTCGGGTTTAGAACATACTTTCCCACATGTAAAAAAACTCTAATTTCTATGCATATTTAAAAAAAATTACTTGCAATGTTCCTTATTATGTAATTTTGCAAAAATTATTCTTGGAAAATTATTATCAACTTTAAATTCAATTAAAAATTATAAATAGGGTTTGGCATTAGGTTTTGATTTAACTCCACGGTATTTTCCACGTTTCTAAATGGATTTCGTAATTATTTACGACTTTCTTCGACAATTTAGCCATTACAAAGCTTTATTGAGAAGTAAAAAGGGCAGTTTCGCGTTTTGTTTCTTAACTCATTTTTGAACCCACTGCTATTATCAAAATACGACTATATACCTTGCTTTCAGCTATATCATAACGTACAGACTATTTTGGTGGATGATTAAATATTGTTCTAATATAGATAAATATTATAAATATTGATTTAATATTAAAATTAAGTTCTTTGATCATTCTATTTATTTTAATTGAAATTTCGAAAGTGTAATCCGCGTGTATGTATTTAGGAATATGTTGTTCCATATAAATTCTTGTCCCCTTAATAATAATAATGGTTAATTGAGAAGGGGGAGAGAGAGGAACAGTGGGGAAGAGATGGAAGGAGAGAGTGGAAAGATGTGGAAGAAGGGATACTTACGATGAAGGACGAGAGAGACAAGGGAGGAAGTAACGTGAGAGAAAAACGGAAAGAGCGAGAGGAGGGTTTGGGAGAGGTAGTAATGAAAATTTACCATAATAATTCAATGTGCATTGAACTTAGTTACACTACTGCCTATTTCAAACATTTTGTACTACTTCGTGTACATTCCTTTAACACATCTTTCGCTCTTTGTCTCCTCAGGATCACAAAGCAAAAATAATTGATTGGAAGAAGCATTAAGAACTAAACTCTGGATATTATCTTCTTTATTGGGAAAGAGAAAACCCGTCGGAAAATATTTTATAAATTCTAAGAAAAATTGGTGTTTGTTTTTGCCAAAATAAGAGTCAACAAATTAATAAGTAGTCATAAAATTCACACTAATTTAAAATAATGAACTGATTTCATTATACTATGTAAAATTTCAAAATATGCGCTATTGCAGCGTATTATTATTCTGAGGCACTTTTAAGCGCACTGGCGTATAGAGCGCACTTGTGTACTATTTTCAGTGAGTAAACAGCTTGGGAGGAAAGGTGTAGCTGCTGTAATCTAGAGGAATAGTACGCGCCGCGTGGATGTGAAGTGAAAATAAGATTGTGCAAGTAATTACAAGCGTTTTGTGTTACGTGTTACATTTTCTAAAGTTTCAAATTAAAGTGTTTGTTTTGATATGCAAAATTTATACCATTTACTCCACGAGCGTATTGCGTGGAACAATATGAGAAAATGAACAGTGCACACCCAGGTAACAAGACAGTGGGTCGGAGTGGGATGGAGTTTGAAGTAACAGTCTCTTCAACAGACAGGTAAGTTTGAAGTGAATTTTACTATGACGGATTAGTTGAATTATTCAGAACGTTAAAAAAACCAACTGTATCACATTTTGACCGATTCCCTCTGTAACACTTTGTCTTCGGATATTTTAAATCATTAATCACGTAATGCCAGTGGCGTATGTGTTGTCTTTATATCTGCTGCTCTATTTATAGCTATATATTTACGCTAACAAAAATTACCAGTTAATGGAAGCAATTCATTCATTCCTCCATTTCTTTTTTCTCAGTATAGAAGAAGTAAGTACATTTATTTCACATTTAAAAATGACCTGGGTTGTTTGTTACAAATAATTTAAAATCATAACCTCAATTGAAAGTATCACAGTATCTGTGGCAGAGTCAACATTGACAAACGCTCTAAAACTTGTCAAGAGGTTATTGTCTTTGACAAATGGAAGGTTTTTCTTCCTGGGCTGTTAGCGGCCACAGAATAATGTAGAACACTTGCGGCAACAGGAGAATTTATGAAGCTTATGAGATTATTAGAATAGATTTCACTCTGATTTATTTATTACCTGCCTTATAGTGAAATTTAGAATTGATTGATCATCCACAATACTAGTTTATTTCTAATTACAATTGCATTTTCTAGGTGCGAAATAAAACGTGAATACAAAATTTCATTGACATACTATTCTGTTTAATGAAGTAAGAATAACTTCGAAGATTCCTTCTTAAATGATAAGTTTTACAATGCAGATTCAGCCTATTTGAGTCTTACTAATCACCATGTGTTGTTGATTTATAGAAGGAATTTTAATTTCTTTTCTTCTTCTAATAACACTAATGGAGTTTATTCATAAGCGTTCTTGGACATAATTGGATCTACTCTGTAAAGCACATACATTCCCGCAATAGTGCTAAGGAAACGGATCATGGACCTCTCTACATATTTGCCTTTCTACATTCAATTTCCAACGTTAATGAAAGTGTCACTGTGACAAACTATTAGGGTTCTTTACTTCGCTGTAGTACCTAAAAGGTTGTTTGTTCAAACCCCATCCGAGAGTGAAACTTCTTTCGACTGCATCGTATCTACGCTGTAGAAAGAAAGTTATATAAAGCAGCAGGAAAAAGTACCGAGTTTGCGATAGAAAAGCACGTTTTATGTCAAAGTGAAATTTTCTTTCTCCTTATGTAGTACTTTCTCGAATTCGTAGTGTAATTAGAACTCACATTTTGCGGGTCCTTGATACCTAAGAAAAGAATTTTCTACAGGCGACCCTCCTTCCGTCTATAAACACCATTTGTGCCTAAACCAGTCAATCCCATGAACAGTCCATATAGATCTCCTTGGGTCGTTTTGAACTCTTAAATTTTAATATAAAATGTTGCAAATATTGATGCAGAATGTCGTGCCATGGAGAGAAAAACATCAAAAGAAACTCAAGTGAAAGAAGTCTCCTCTCACGATGTTTTGGCTCAGAATGGGATGCATTTTGTAACGATTATGAGTTATTGATCCCTTTATGAACATATTTTTTTCTTTCTGACTTTAATTTCATTGATTTACACATCACTTAGCTCTCATGTTTTTTTTTAGTTTTAATCAGGCTTTTTTAAAAATAAATTTACGCTATTAGTATGTCAATTGAAGAGGTGTGCACACTGTTCATGGGCGAAACGTTGTGTTGCCTCCAAGTGTGCAAATAAATTATAATTACTATTTTATATTGTCTTCGTAATAAATGAGAGAATAACATATACTTTTTTTACTTAATTTCTTACTTAATTTTGCTTCTTTTTCTTTCCTTAATCTTTTTCCTACTTCTTTTCTCTCTCTTCTTTGTTTCTCCCACTTCTTCTTTGTGGCCCCCACTTCTCCTTTGTTTCTCCCTCGACTTCATTTCTCCTAATTCTTCGTCTTCGTTTTTCTTCCTCCTTCTTCGTTTCGTTTTCTTCGTTTTTCTTCTTTTTCGTTTTTCTTCTTCTTCTTCTTCTTCTTCTTTGTTTCTCTTCTTCTTCGTTTCTCTTCTTCTTCTTCGTTTCTCTTCTTCTTCTTCTTCGTTTCTCTTCTTCTTCTTCTTCGTTTCTCTTCTTCTTCTTCTTCTTCGTTTCTCTTCTTCTTCTTCTTCTTCTTCTTCTTCGTTTCTCTTCTTCTTCATCTCTGTTTCTGCTTCTTCTATTACACAGTTTTCTCTCTTCCGCAGCTTCTTTTTGTTGCTTCCCCTCCTCCTGCCACTCCCTAGGCGTCTCGTAATGGGCATGGCTTCGTCGTCGGTCGCGGCAACGCGAGCGCCGCCGTCGCCGCCGGGTAAACACGCGATGCCATCTAGCGGGAGCGGGCGGCGCGGCGCGGCGCCGTAAGGGCGCCGGTCGATAGCCATCGCGCGCGTTCGCGGCGCGAGTATTACGCGGAGGTTCTCGTCGCTGCGCGGGTTTTTGGAGCGTGATTGGGGCGGGAGGCGGGGCAGGCAAACAAAACATTGGTCGACAGTCGATATACTGGAGCCTGTGAGAATACACAAACTGCGAAGAAGTGCGACTCCAAACGACCATTAAATGATCGGAAAGTGTTTAGTAAATACTATACAATGTTATTGCAATATTCGTGAAGAGAATGTTATGTTAAAATATTTAATTTATTGTAGTAGAAGGTGTCGTGTTCTTTCAAGCATATATTCGAGTATTTTTTGTTGTCCTTTAGCAACGTTCGGCATTTTTTTTCAAAAAAGTTAAGTGGTTTTGTTCAGGAGTGTTTTTGCCGCTGCTGATGGCTAATAGCATTGTAATAAACGCACTATTAAAATGTGCAGAAAAGACCAGAGTAATCTATATTACTTGTATATGATATTCATTACGTAAATACGCGAAATATGACGGAAAACAATGGAGCCTCTGATAATGTGAGAGATGTCTTAGATTTAGTTAGATACCCAGGAACTCGGAAAAAATACAAAAAATTGAAAGTTTCAATTTTTACTGAACATATGTAAATTTTGTTTTCCCCCTATTCTCCTTCTGTGAGAGTCAACTGAATTTGTATACTCGCTGCAGAGTCCTGCTTATCACATAGTTGACGTCATACGAGAACAAGGCTCCAAGGAAGCTGCCACCTCCATTAAATATTTGCTATTTAGGTGTTGCGCTGTGAAACCATTTTTAAAATACTTTTGCAATGTAAAGGACTGTTGTTGCGTGTAATATTCTATTATACTATATTATTTAAGTACATGTGAAATATAGAAGTGAAAAAAAAATGTTGCAGTGTTATTGGAGAGTATTTTATTTTGTGTGAGCTGTGTTCGTGCTTCGTTATGGAAAATCATTTTGTGTGGTTTTCTTCGGACGCATTTTTTCTGCTGCAAGTTACTTAGTTTTATACTAGTACAACTTGCCGTCGAGTCTATGGTAAAGATACTTCGACCTCCAAATTTCACCTCATAATTTTTTTCTACAGTCAACTGTCGTCGCGTTCCTGGATCCCCTAGATAAAAATGTTAATTTATTTGTCTTCTATTATCTGTTGGGAAGTTGTTTAAGAAATATTCTGAGTTAGTATTTAATGAAGGTTTCTTTCGAGATGTGCGTGCAAGCGTCTCAGTTCGTCTCCGTTGAAGTATAATAATGTTTGAAACAGAAATGAACCATAATTGCGTTGTTATGTAATAAGCTACAGATTTATATTTTCTCAACGTGCACAAACGAGTATCTCAGGTGCGATTAATTACAATGCTGTTGTTACTGAATTCACAGAGAGAAGCGAATTTCTCTCTCATGAGTGGAAACAGGGATAACTTATAGTGATGCTATAACAGGACGTACTTTCTCGCATTAAGTCGCAAGAAATGGTTACGTAAAATTACAATACAGCAATTTCTGTTTGTATTAACACGTCTCATTCATCATCTGTCTAACTCATTACAAATCGTAATACAATAGGCGCGAAAACTTAATTCATTTAAAAGTTATTTCAACACATTTTCGACAATCCAAAACCGCGTTTCATATATCCAGAAACAGCCCAATAATGAATTGGTTTTCTTTAGTTTTCTTTTTGGAATAGAGCAAACTATAGTTACGAAAGTTGCGCAGGTACCATTTTTGGTGAACCCTCCACATTTTTGAAAATTGAAATAAAGAAAATGAAAGACTACAGTATTGTTGATAGAGATTTTTTACTTAATGAAATGTATTTTTCAAAATTATATCTTTCAATTAGGTCACGTATATTTTTTGAAAAATGAGCAGT